GGGGGGGGGGGGGCTCTTAACATATATACAGAAGAAATGGTCCAAGTCTAGCCAATGTGATGCTCCAACACGCCCCCTCCAACGGAGGCTAGATGGACATGGATTGTCCAGATTGTCAGGTCCCATAGTGGCAGACCTTGGCTCTGATACCATGTAAGAATATATGGAACCAAGATCACTCTCCAAACGAGCCCTTGAGAAGAAAGGGGGCTCCGACATATAAGCAGAAATGGTCCAAGTCTAGCCGATGTAGGACTCCAACAATATGTATAATCAAGCCAATATAATCTTTAAACTATGTCTACATATGCATGCGCACACTAACACGTATATAGTACAAATAAGATTACTGATTGAAGTTGGTAATCTTATTTAAGGCCAACTATAGGATTCCTTGCAAAACTTGCTTGTTTACAGAACATTTATATATGTTACAAAGAAAATTGCCAAGTTGGTGTGTTATTTACAATCAACTATAGGATTCCCTACAAAATTTACTAGTTCAAAACTTAAAACTAATTAGGGCCCATATGGCTTGCGGGATTTGGAATTGAATTCCATTCCACTCCTCCTGCGTTTGGTTTAAACGAAAGCCCATAATTGAAATCCCGGGATTTCAATGAAAATCCCACAAGCATGAGGTTTAGAAATCTCATGGGGGTAATTGGTATTTCGTGGGATTTCATAGTTGTTTGTAATAATGTTTTAACATATGTTAAAAACACTTGTTTTGTAATAATCGGTTAATAAAAGGTAATTTTATTATTTTCATAATTTGTTTATTAAGAATGGAATCCAATTCCATTCCGAATCCTACAAACCAAACACACCAAAGATTTCAAACCTAAAAAAAATTCCATCAAACGAAATGGGCCCTAAGGAAATTCTTGATATTCATCATAACAAGTATATAAACAGTTCCATCCAATAAGATTAAAGGCACGTTTGTTAGCAGCTTAATGAGCTTAATGGGATTCAATTTATTCGATCAACTATATATGATTTTTTGGTAATGGCTTAATAATATAGAAAGTGGCTTATTCAGTAAGCTTCTAAGGAGAGCCTTATATGGAAAGCCAATTTTTTTTTTCCAAACTCGTTCCTCCCACTTAAAGACATTGTCCTTCCTTCTATGAAATAAACCTCCCAAACAAAAACCTTCCTAATCTATAGAGAGAGATTAATTCATACAGGACTTAATGGAAAACCAAACAAACAACCCCTAATTCTTTGCCGTCTTTCATTCCACCTGTCATATTGTTAATACAGCCAGCTTACAATTAGTACCATTTTGTAGATACAAGTTAGATTCATGTCAAGTTTATCTTACTAGCTAATGTGCTTTTAGTCACTTGTGCAAATGAAACTCAAGCCGATTTATTTACAATATTCAGGTGATGTTACCAGAGGCTGTTGCCATTGTCATGGCTCCGACAGATGCATCAAGGTATGCCCTCTTTATGCCGACTCTTTTGGTATTCGTTATGCAACAATGGAAGTGATTCTACTTTTTTTTTTCTGGTTCTTTTCTGATTCTACTCTGCAACTTTAATCCCCTACTAGTTCTGTACCCGCGCAATGCGGTGGAGAGCCGTGAATGTTAACGATTTTGAAATTTCACTGGTTTTATTAGAGAATATTTAATGATGATATAAATTACACTTGGTCTTTACATATTAATACAATTTGAATAAATAAGAGTTATGGTTTCAATTACAATTTATCGATGAAAAAAATTGTATGATACTTTAAAATTCAATATATTTAAACGACTCAACAAATGTGTTCGATTTATACCAAGAACAAAGAATCAAGAGAGCGAGACCAAGAGTTTTAGAGCAATTGAATGAGAGATGAATGAGAGAACTTTTAATAACTCATGGTGAATATCAATTTGAATCTCACCTTGGGGGATGGGGAGAAGACATAGGGATGAGAAGGTGAAGACATGAGTGAAAGGTGTCAAAAGTATCTTGGGAACATGAAAAGAAAAAGTAATAATATGCATTGATAACTTGTACTATATGTTATTTTAATTGTAGATTAAGAGATAGTTTAAGACTAAATGCATAAAGTAGTAGTAGTACTTAATGCATTATGAGTTGTTTTTAAGACTTTTAAGACTTTGTGCATTAAAAATTGTTTTTAAGACTTGAAAAATCTGGTTTATAAGATAGTATATATATAGATATAGATTTCTGTAGGGAAAGCTTAAAAGTCATCTTGTGTTTTAGATTTCCTCAAGGAAAGCTTAAAGGCTAGTACTTTGTATTTTAGATTTTGTACTTTTTTTAAGACTTTAAGACATTTATCAAATTTGATTAATAAGATAGTATAGATTAAGATTAAAGTTCAGGTCCACTCAATCAATGAAGACTTGAATCATTTTCTCTGAACTTAACGGCGTTGAATTGGATTATCAGTTTGTTCAATTTATAGAAGTTAACTCATGGTAGTTATTGCATCTCAGGAGTTACGGTTTTTTCCGGTTATCCGACCCCGACGGGATGAATATTTTGAGGGAATGCCAAGAGAGGGGATTTCACACCCATCAAGAACCTGTTGATGGAACTTCCCTTTATGAAGACTGCTCAAATATATATCTCAACCCTAATCTGAGACTCGAAATATGCGATTTACGTCATTTATGTTAATACAAAACCGAACAATAGTACATAAAGTAGGAAGATCGTAGCGGTTTGCCTCTCGGATTCATGTATAGAATGCTTAATAAATTGGCTTTTCTTGGACCATTTCTGATCAATATATGATGGAATCGGACTTTTTGGGATCTTTTAGAGAGTAATTTAATGGGGGTTCTATGTATTTTCACATGGTATCAGATCTAAGGTCTACCACTACAAGGACTCGACACTCTGGGACTCGGGGTGCAAACGAGCCGAGTTGAGTTGAGTCGAGCTTTAGCTATTCGAGCGCTCGAAAAATTATTCCAAGCTCAAGCTGAACTCGACTCAAATAACTTTTTCAATATAGGGTTGGATACTTTTCGAGTTATCGAGCTCGATGCTTGTTTATGGGCTTTTCTCGTGATCGATTAACTTATTTTTGGTTTAGGTTGATAATTTTTTTTTATTTTTTATTGTATTATACATGAACATACGAGTATGTTTGGCTCGAAAAAGTATATGCTCGAGGGGCTCGGCTCGACTTGAAAAATTTAATCGAGCTTTTGCAAGTGCTTAGTCAAACGTTGGTTTTAGGAAGCTTTACTTGTTAAGCTAAACGAGTTCTATTTTGTGTTTGAGATCGATTCGAGCTCGAGAATTATTAAGCTCGAGCTTATTTACGCCCTTATCTGGGACAATCATTGCCCGTCTAGCTCGAGTGTCGGTCTAACCTCAATTGGAGGGGGCATGTTGAAGTAGCAGATGAACTAGATTTGAATCATTTCTTCTATAGGAGGGGCGTGGGAGTCCCAAAGGAGTTTCATATATTCGGAAACCTATATTGTCATAAGCAAATTTTAGCACGAAATAGTTTGTGATTTGTATTATGTTTTTTTCTTCTTCGGTTTTTAGTTGGATTTTTGTTTAGTTTTCCAAGCTTGGTGAGTTGAGCCCAAACCCGCATACTTTTTGGATAAAAATCTCCCGTCCTAAATTATCATGTTTCATTCATGTCCACCAATCACATAAATACACATCGTCTAAGAGAGAATGTGAAATTGAATATAACAAATTTAACAGATATAAAAATCTGATTTGTCTTAATTTCATTGGTTGGACAGGAATGAGACGTGTGATTTTGGGACAACAGATTTTTATCCATATCTTTACCCGAGCCCGCTAGACATAGGGCTAGTTGCCAAAAATGAGCAACGATCCCTTTGTCAACCCCCATTGTGAGATGGTGATGATGGTGCGAGCAGATCCAAGAGCTATAGGATGCATATATGGGTCAATATGAGATAGGGAAACGGACTGGAAATAAGTTCAACTTAAAACGACCCCAACTTTTGATTTGTTAGGAGTTACTAGAAGAGTATTCGCGCAATGCAACGAAACACATCTCGATTTTAATGTTCTATTTTATTATTTGTCTCTGTCGATATTATAATAAGATTTTGTGTTTTTAAGAACACAATAATGATTTTATTTTTAAATATATATATTAATGTTAAAATCAAATCAACTATTTAAAAGTTTTTATTTTGTTATGTAATTTATTTAATTTATTTTATTATTATAATTTAATTTAAGTTTAATAACGAAATAATTTATTTTTTCTTTAATAATATAACATTTTATAAAGATAATAATTAAGTATTCTGTTAGAASTCAATGATTATCCTAATTATATTTTAGATTTTTTATGTTTAAAATGAGATGTTTATCCTGTATTTGATCATATTTATCTGCAGTTAGTTACACGAATTTAGATATAGAGCTTTAATAAGTTATACTTACGCACAATCTACTTGCAATATTGAGGTTTAAGTAATATTCATTAATAAACAATACTTTATGCATAAAAAGTGGTTTTTAAGAGTTTTTGTCAAATATTTTATAATATAGTATAAGATAGAGCTGTAAGATATGTGTAAAAAAGCTCGCAACGGGCCAGACATGATGACAAACAGCGTAAAGCAGTTTGGCCCAATTTCGGACCGAAATTCGTTTGGGGCATTGAAGTCGATGATGGTGGTAGTGGAGGGAGGAAGAAAGGGTGGTGGTCTGTGGCAGTTCTGGCATACCGATGGCTTCGATGGTGTGCAAACCATCAAACCAAAAACATAAAAAAAATAAAGAATGAACAAAATTCCCCTTACGTACCTAACATGTAAAGACACAAGCGTTTTTTACTACATACTTATCCGGTAAGCGTTTACCAGGTCACATTATCTTATTGGATGAACATGGTAAGAACTCATAATCATACATAGGAAGAGCAATGGCGAGGATCGAGAGTCTTATTCGGTAAGTGAGGATAACGACTTCTGTTCAGTTATCACTTATCAAGTGATAGTTTTACTGTTGTATACAATGCCATTTTTATGGACTAATCCAATAAGGTAAGTGATAGTGTCGAATTTTACTGGTAAAATCTTACCGGGTAACTATTTAGGTAAACATTCCCTTAATTGACAATGGAAAAACCATTTATTTTAGGGCAAAATGCATGAAAAAGCAACACACTTTAACTTGATTCTTATTTTGGGTAACACAAAATTTTCATTCTGGTACATAAGATGTAAATTATTTAAAACATTTAAATACACGGGTAATGGTTGAAACATTAACCGGTTACCATGCTGATGTGACAAATGATATGGTATCCAACTCAATATTATTTGCTGACATGGATATCTTAATCTAACCAGTTAATGATTCAACAGGTTACCCGGGTTTTAATTGCTTAAAATTTCACATCTTAGGTACGAAAATGAAAGTTTTGAAAGTACGTTACCTTAAATAAGAATCAATTTAAAGTACGTTACTTTTTTCATGCAATTTGCTCTTAATTTTACAAGAGTTTCTCTATAAATCGTGTAGGCATGGTAACTGGGCGGGTTTTATAATCCCCGGCCCCGGTTTTTTGTAATAACCCCGGGCCCTGACGGGTACGGGGATTAACATTTCGTCCCCGATAAAACCTCAGTCAAACCTTATGAAAAATATATGTTAGTTTGAGTCTACCGTGGATCCCCGGTGCCGGTTGGAGTAATATCCCCCGGCCCCGGTCTTGGGACCCATTTCAATGAGGAATCCCCATCTTCTTTCGGATTGGGTGAGCCAGGTTTCTCATCGGGTCAGGACATACCACCATCCTTAAAACGGTGGGACGATGTTTGTAATTTATTTGAAAATCTATCGATACCGAACGAATGGAATAAAGGAGATAAAGTGCTTGATAATTGGGTGGAACACAAAGAATTAAATTATTTCCCATGTTTGTTTCGTTTCTTAGTTTAACCAAACATGGGATTATATTCCTTTTGTAGTCTAGGGGAATTCATCAAAATAGCTAATTTTTTAATCAATTTTATTTTTTAATTCAATGTCTGTTTTAATCAAAATTAATGTAAATATCTTGTGTATTTATGTAAATCCTATTTTCAGATTTAAAAGAAATACAAATAATTTACGTTATTTGCGTAAATACATTTTTTTAATCTGAAAAATAGGCTATATGCATAAAATTTGGTTAAAATTAGAATTTGATTTCCAAAATGGCTAAATATGAATTTGGTTGAGAAGATTAGTTATTTTGATAAATAAAAAAAATTAGAGAGTGTTTGGTTAAAGTATTAAGCAGTAATCAATGAGAATAAAAATAAAAGAAATTGTTTGGTTTTCTATAATATAATGAGCGCATTCTCTCAGAAGCCCAAAATTTCATTATTGGTTAAACGGAAGTGAATGAAAAAATTTATTTCCTGTCATTTTCATTTTCATTCATCAGCAAGTCAGTATTAACCAAAGACTCTTAAAATTTTCCTACATAAACAGAGGAACAAAGAAGAAATTTGTCACGTAATTTACAAGGGCGTCGAGAGAATTCTTGTAAGGCCATTTCCAAGATTCCAACCCAACCACCGAAAAGTGGTGGGTATTTTGAACACTAAAAAGAACAACTATAATCACACACTAAGGGTCTGTTTGTTTTTTAAAATTTGCCTCTTAATTTCCTCTTATGTCTGAATCGGTCAGACATATAGACTTTCAGATCATTTGTTTTTTCCCCCAAATTAAGAGCTGAATTCATAAGGTTTCCTCTGAATTTTTAAGTGGTAACCTTAGCTCCTAATACCTCTTATTTGTTTATCCGCCTCCTTACGTCACTCTCATCCGCCTCCTTTACGTCGCTCTCATCCGCCTCCTTTACGTCGCTCTCATCCACTCTCGTCCCATTCATCGATTGAAGCTGGTGTTCTTCATACATCGCAGATTCAAGCTGGTGTTCTGGTAATCTTCTCGGTCTCTCTTTGGTTTCAGATTTCAGACGTAAAAACAAACAGTCTGACTGATTCAGATTTCAGACTTCAGCACCACCTCTTAAAATTCAGAAGTGAATTCAGATTTCAGATTTCAACACCTCTTAAAAAACAAACGCCACCTAAGAAACCTTAAAAATATCTTTTATATTATAATAATAATCGGATAATATATGTATTTATTACTTAATGTATCAAATTTTAATCTATATATACATAATTATAAAAATTGAATGAAATATTAATATTTGATTATAGAGACCTTCTTTATTGACCTTCAAATATAAAAGCGGACACATCTTACCTCCATTTTTTTAGTGTTTTAGTGTTGCGATTGGAGATGAAAACACCTATATTTTTGTGTTTTTAGTGTTAGGTTAGAGATGATATAAGAACTCTAAAAAATGTTCTTATAAAAACTTTCTCCAATTTTAGTTACATGCACCCTCCATTAATGTTAAAATTAGATTAAAAATGTATATAATAGATTAATAGGTCTTAAACTCTTGATATTATGTGTGTAAATAGAAAAAGAGATATATTTAACCTAATCCGATTTTTTTATTAACCTGGATATGCAACATGCTATGCAAGTCGACTAATCCCAAGATAACCATCCGCTTCGACGGTAGCCCGGAGACGCCAGATTTGAACACGGATTTTATGGCCAAAGTGGATTTTTATTCCTGCTTGAAATTGAATCTGAAATCTCTAAACACTTTTAACTTTGAAGATCATACTCAAATCAATCGAACACTACCTTTATGGTTATCCAACTTCATTTTAAGGTTGATTTTTAAACACACATCTAATTAAAATAAATGTTTTATAACAGTAATAATATCAATATATTACACAGTAATTTTGGCAACAACCTCCGTCAGCTTAGAAAGGGTGTACATTCTTGCTTAACCCACCATTCACATTCGTGAAGAACCCCATTAATCCCGGCCGGTAAGGTAGGTACGACCGCCGCCGTTCATCCTCCGTTTGCCCTCCTCTTTGCTTCAAGTAAACCTCATGAGCCGATGCCTTCGAGTTTTGGGCCTTGGATCCTTTTTTAACCACTTTTGCTTTTCCTACTCCGCCGGCGCCGTTGACTTTTGCCGGCAAGTCATCGCCAGCGTTCGATTTTCCGATTGACGTTGACGGTGTTGTTCTTGTTCTCTCTGGAGTTTCTAGAAACACGAAGGCGTCACGGCCGTCGCTGTTGCTCCGATTCATTTTGTCTCTGAATCTCCAGAGCTTCGAGAATCCGGTGGAGTTGCTCTTCATATTGATCTCCGGCGTACCGGTATCCGATTCCTTTGGCAACGCGCAGAACGTCCCCGCTGATACTTCGTCTGTCTGTTGATCTCCGGAAGCCATAGACGACGGCGATCGTCGAGGCGATTCGATAAAAACCTTATCCACCGGAACATGAATCGGCAACCGCCATCTTCCTTCACCGTCGTTATCACCGCCTAATAACAAACTCTGATCAAACAACGGAAACACCGGACGGATCTGGCCGCTTTCAAACACCTCATTAGTCTGTGAATCGTTATCGCCTATACACATAAACGTAAAATCACCTTCTTCCTCCTCCTCCTCCTCATCTTCTTCATCATCAGTTTCCGGCGATTCCGGCGTCAACTGTTGCTTATGAGAATCATTTTCATCGATTTTAAGATGATTGAAACCGAAATTAACCTCATCAGCTGCCGATTGCTCAATATAATCCTTAGGATCTGGATCATAACCAGAAGAAGAAGATAAATCGATGGATTTATGCACCTCCATGTCGTAATGAATGGAGATTTCGTGTTCCAAAATCAATCAAAGAGAGTTTTGTTGTTGGTGGAGTGGATTTCGGTGGTTTTGAGTAGAGTTGGATAGGAATGAATGTCTCGATAGATGGTGACGGCTAATATAAGGTGGGTCGGGACTCGGGAGGGTGGTTGGGCCCAAGAGTCGAACAAAATTGTTTCCTTTTGGACTTTTCAGATTTTTTAAATTAAATAAAAAGTAAATTATGTTTTTTTTATAATATGATTTATAATTTATTGTTATTTTTATCTTTATAATTTACTGTTGTTTTGTTTCTTGTAGTTTACAATTTATTACTGTTTTGATCCCTTTTATTAAAAGGCGGGGTGGATGCATCTAATAAGGAGGGAGATTGCTTATTTGAAAAAAATTATGATTTTCTACAAAAACACCTATCAACTTATTATAAGTCAGAAGGGTTTAACTTCTACAAAAACTCCTTATTACCTTTTTGGTACCGGTATAAGTTGTTTATCCAAACATTCAATAAGTTTTTATTGTCAGTGACACACCGGAATAAGTCAATAAATTGTTTCTATAAACAATCCCAAACACCCCCTAAGGTTAAAATTTATTTTTTACAAAACTTACTTTCACTCTCCTCAGTAGAATTTTCTACAGAACCTTAGTTTATAAAACTCCTGAATCCGTCATTGCTTAAAAATAATAATTAGTTCAGGATGAAAATCATAATACATTACAAGCCGTAAGGACAAATATTGCAGTTTCTAAATGATAAGAACGGAAATTTAAAAATTATTAATTAAATAATATGGACGAAAATCGGAATTTACTCTTAATAAAATAAAATTTTTATTTGTTTTCAAAAATAAATTCAATATATTAAATTTATAAATTTGTATCAAAACTTAAAGATGGTAATGACTATGTTTCCATAGGTATTTTTTAAAGCAGGGGTTTAGGGAAAATGGTAAATTGTATGAAAAAAGTAATGTATTTTAACTTGATTTTTATTTTGGATAATGTATTTTCGAATTTTTGTTTTTGTATCTAAGATGTAAAATTTTAAGCATTTAAGTACTCAGGTAATTGATTGAAATATTAACCAGTTACCATGCTGATGTGGTATCCAACTCCGTATTATTTGCTGAAGCATTAACCGGATACCACGTCACTCGTCACCTCAACATAGTAATCGGCTACTTAAATGTTTAAAACTTTACATCTTAACTAACAAAATCGAAATTTTGAAAGTATGTTACCTAAAATATGAATCAAATTAAAGTACATTATTTTTTCATGCGATTTGATCTAGCGAAAAACCTTTTCAAATTGAAAAATAAAATAATATCTTAATAATCATTGATCTGCATAGTATGCACATGTTATACAAGTAATTCAAGATGTTCCTTGGTTTCTATGTGTATGTGTATTTGTATGCACATGTGCATCCTACACAAATTACTTATATGTAAATATATATACCATACAGATGAATAGTTATTAAGATGTTTTTCAAACAAAAAAAAAACGGTTTTCTTCTAAACCTGACCCTTTTATTACATATTTTAAATATATAATTATATTAACCATGCGTTAAATTTAACATTTATTCTTGTTTATTGAAGTTAAATTCAATTTATCACAAATATTCAAGAATTCACAAGTAATTATTTTCCATTTATAAAATGTAATTTTATAATGAAATATATTTATAATGATGTATGTATAAGTTGTCTCAAAAATCATGTTATATATAATTATTACATTTTTAAATTACTGAATAACAGTTTTACTTTTGAAAGAGAAATTTTCTTCATCTCATAATTAAAAATAAATAGAAAAATAGAAACTTATGGGGCGTTTACCTAAATGCTTACCCGGTAAGTGTTTACCGATAGAATTCAACAATACAATTTATTTTGATACGTAAGATTTTAGTACATCAAAACATATTAAATGTAACAAGTTACTAGGTAAGTACTTACCTGGGTAAGAGTCGTCATTCTTACTTACCGGGTAAGACTTTCTATCATTTTCATTGCTCTTACCCGGTAAGATTCTTAGCCCTTCTCATGTTCATCCGATAAGAAAATTTATCCGGTAAGCACTTACCAAGTAAGTATTTAGTAAACGGCCCTTACTTTTGAAAGTGAACAATTACTTGAGACAAACTAAAATAGAAAAAAAACGTGGACAGTTGATTTATACGGAAGTAGTATTTAATTTTTTTTCTTTAAAAGGTACCTTTTGCAAGTTTATAAAATGGTTATTTGCAACCACAAAAGTAGTGTCTGATTAGTTTGAGCTTGAACTCTAAATGTCAAAAGTGTTTGAAGGTCTCATGTTCAAATCCAAGTGGAAATAAAAATTCTCTTATGACCACGAAGGTTCAAATACGGTACCTTAACTTGATTCATATTTTGAGTAACATATTTTTAAAACTTTCACTTTGCTATCTAAGATGTAAAACTTAAAACATTTAAGTATCCGGGTAATCGGTTGAATATTAATTTTAGATTGAAAAAAGACTAATTTTAGATTTAAAAAATTCATGTCACTAACCACGCCAACAAATAATATTGAGTTAGATGCCACATATACCACATCAGCATGGTAACCGGTTACCCGAATATTAAAATGTTTAAAGTTTTACATCTTAGATAGCAAAATGAAAATTTTAAAAATACGTTATAAAATAAATCAAATTAAATTATATTATTTTTTAACACAATTTTTGAGACATTATCGTATAGAATTTGGTCTCAAGTGGTGCCAAACTAAATATTTGGATGGCGGTTGGGCCTGTTTGAATTGACTATTATTATATTATTTTTATTTAAAGGGAAATTTCTAATGAATTTCCTGAAAAGTCCTTGAAGTATTAGTCAACTTACAGAATTAGTCATCTAATTAATTTTCTGCACTTTTCAAGCTTTTCATTCAAATACCACATTTAAATTAAGGATGGTGATTTATCCCGACCCAGTAGAAAATTTGATTTATCTGACTCAAACGGAGACGGCGATTCCCTGTTAAAACAGGTCTCGAAGCTGAAGCATGGGGCTTTTACTCAAACTGGGGATGGGGTCGGGGCATAGGGCTTTTACTCAAACTGGGGTTGGGGCCGGGGATCCCAGCTAGACTCAAATTAACGGATATTCTTCATGAGATTTGACCTGTGTTTGACTAGGGACCGGGGCTGCTACTAAAAACCGGGGCTGGGGATTACAAAACCCGCCCCATCCCGTTGTCATGTCTACTTTAAATTAGATTTTTTTTATCTCTTTAAAAAATTGAATCGTAAATATTTGCATAACTAAATAAAACGAGTTTACATATGGTCTCCAATTTAATAAATCATTTTTAAATATTTTATATTTTAAATATCTTTTTTTAGGTCATGACATAATTTATCAGAGTATCTTTAACAACTGTTAAAATAGATATTTTAAAGATTTAACAGTTTTTTTTGTTTTAACAGATATGTTAGAATAGAGAAAAGAAGAAGTAGAAGATGAAAATCTTTTAAATTAAAGAAATTTCGAAAACTGTAAATGTTTTGATCATTTATTGTGAATCAGATATACTGAAAATAAATGTTTAGAAAAGAAAAACAATATTCATCAAATATACTAAACATTTAATCGTATAATTAAATGGTAAATTGCATGAAAAAGTAACGTACTTTAACTTAGTTTTTATTTTAGGTAACGTACTTTCAAACTTTCATTTTGTTACCTAAGATATAAAGTTTTAAACATTTAAGTACTCGGTAACCGGTTGAAGCATTAACAGCTTACCATGTTGATGTGACGAGTGATGTGATACCCGGTTAATGCTTCAACAAATAATACTAAGTTAGATACCACATCAACATGGTAACCGGTTTATGTTTCAACCGGTTACTTAAATGTTTAAACTTTACATATTATACATCAAAATAAAAGTTTTGAAAGTACGTTATTCAAAATAGAAATCAAGTTAAATTACGTTATTTTTTTATGTGATTTGTTGTATAATTAATATAAAAATTACAAAAAAGAGTAGCTTAATTTAAATTTTTTTTTTTGACTTATAATTATTTTAGAAAAAATATATGTTTTTAGAGATGCTTTTTAGTTATTTATACTATTTGCTCGGCCGAAGTGGTGGACCGGATTTAGAGCCACGTTTTACCCAAATAACATTATTTTTATTAATTAATTAGTTTAAATTATATAAATAGTTTTTCTTTATTAATTTGAGTCTATTAGAGATCCCGTCCCCGACCTTGGTATCCGTTTTAACGACGAATTCCCGTCCCTATTCAGGTTGGGTGCCGGATTCCCCAATGGTTCGGGACAAATCACCATCCTTAAGTTCATTAAATCCACTCGCCGAAGACGCTCTAAGCTGCATTGTTAGATAGAAATAAGATTCAACCAATATAATAAAATTAATTTTATCATGGTTTAAAATATTTAAACACTTTAATAAAATATTTTATAAAATAGTTTTAGACGTTTTAATAAGTTTTTAAAACGTTTTCAAAGTAAATTGTTTATCTATTTTATACGACAATATTTGAAAAACTGTCCTATAAACACAAGTATTTAATAAAAAAAAAGTTGAGTTTGTAGAACACTTCTCAAAAGTGTCATATAAAATAGCTAATTGGACACTTTATTTTAAAAACGTGTTAAAAACTTGTTAAAATGGCTAAAAACATTCTATAAACCTATTTGTAATATTTTTAGACGTGTCGTTTTATAGTTTTGTTCTTATAAACGTAATTTCTATGAAATATTCTATTATGATGCTTAGACCTTTTAGGCGTTTTATAAAGCCAATTTTGTTGAACGGAACATAAGACGAATTTGATGAACACAACATTTCAATAAGTTTTTTTTAACCAACTCAAATAAAGTTACAACTGTGTATTTCATGCGTGTCAAATCGTAGAAAATAATCATGATGGATAAGACAATTGTAGAACCACTACTGTTGCGTTTATTTTGGATAGATGTGAA